AACTCACTCTGTAGACCAGGAGGGCCTAGAACTCAGAGATCTGCCTGCCTCTGTCCCCTGAGTGCTGGGATTAGAGGCATGCGCCACCACCATTCGCAGTATACATGTTTTTCTAATAGCAATAAACTGTCTAGAGAAGCTTTAAAGTATTCAAAAAGAATTCTCATTGTATGAAATTTTAGAGTATCAAAGTTTTATTTTCATTTTCCTACATACACACATGAACACATGTGCGCGCACACTCAGTTTGTGTTAAGACAATGCACTTCTTTTAAGTCTGACTATTAAAAACAATGAATCTTTAAAAATCTGAGTTGCCATTTAAGCTCTCAGACTTGAGAATTCATTTTGCAGGTGTAATGGTGAGTACATTAATTTAGATGTCTCAAATCTAAGTAGCTTGAACACAGTGAATTACTCACTTATTTATGTATTTCCTACCCCCATCATCTGACGCAGTTGCCACTCTCCTACTGGGTGTCATGAGATGCTGGTGGGTTTTAGAGTCTCTTGTGTGGGATGGTTTTCTGGAAAGTTAAACTTCTGACCTTTACATTTCTTACTGGTAAAGTGAGAATAATAATAAGGACTGAATTTACTGCTGTGTGAGTTGGATAGATAATGAGAAATTACCTACTGTAAAAACTGGTGCCTACCAGGCGGTGGTGGTGCACGCCTTTAATCCCAGCACTCAGGGGACAGAGGCAGGCAGATCTCTGAGTTCAAGGCCAGCCTGGTCTACAAAGTGAGTTCCAGGACAGCCAGGACTACATAGTGAAACCCTGTCTTGAAAAACAAAACAAAACAAAAAAACCTGGTGTGTGTCTGTCTGTCTCTGTCTCTCTCTCTGTCTCTCTTTCTCTCTCTCTCTCTGTTATATGTAGGAAATACAGGAATTTGCCTATGCTGGATGCAGTCTGAGTTCTTTAGACTATTGCTCTTTCAAAATCAATCTATATATTGCACAAACACCTATAATTGTTAAAGAATATAAAGAATATAACATAAAATAGCTCTTATTCCACCACTTATGGATAATTTTTATTAGTCTGCTTATGTCTGTATTTGTATGATATTTTCTTATGGAATTATAGAAATTGGGACCAAAATCATGTTTCGTAAGTTGTTTTTTAGTTAATATTTTAAGGATTGTTTACAACAGATAAATCTACTTTCATGATATGAGTTGAAATTTTGTCTACTTCTGGGTGTATCATATTCTAAGCAGTTTCCTATTGCTGGGCAATTTAAGATGTTTGCAACTGTTATCTATTCTATGATGTTGTGCAGCTAATTTTGTATGTCTCTGTGTAGTTGTCTTGGTGCAAGTTCCTACCTGGTCATTCTGACCTAGCCTATACAGACTTAAGACTCTGTGTGTGTGTGTGTGTGTGTGTGTGTGTGTGTGTGTGTGTGTGTGTGTGTGTGTGTGTGTGTGTGCATACATACTATACCACAGCCTGCATGTAAAGGATAGAGGATACCTTGCAGGAGTAGGTTCCCTCTTTCTACCATGTGGGTCCTGGGCATCAAACTAAAGCCATCACACTTGGCCACAATCACTTTTACTCACTGAGATATATGTTTTGCCCCAGACTTAAGAATTCTGATACACAGCACAAATTGGTTTTGAGATGCTGGCCTTCTTTAGTTACTATAGTTACCAAGCCTGACAGATTTTCATGTCCTCGACACACAGATTGTTATTAAGAATCTTTGTCTAGGGGCTGGGGAGAAGGCTCTACAGTTGAGAGCACTTGATTCTATTCCCAACACCCACACCAGTCAGCTCATAACTACCTGAAATTCTAACTGTGGAGGAATCTGACATCCTCTTCTGGCCTGAGTGGACACCCACACACCCACACATACATATGTATGCACATAAACATGAACATTTGCATACAAATAAATAAAAGTTTGTATACTCAATCTATTTTTTTCTAAGTACAGTATAAAGTCTGGTCTTACCATTATTTAAATTTATGGAAGATTGAGTATGTTAGTATTTTGACATAGGAAAAATGTCTAGAATCATTAGGATTTTATCTTTCCGTAATTTTTATTTTCATTAAAAAAATTAAGTGTTCATGTACATCCATCATGTGTGTGCAGTGCCTGAGGAGGCCAGAAGAGGGCAGTAACCCCCCCCCCCCCCCCCCCCCGCCCCCCCGACTGGAGTTACAGATGGTTGTGAGCCACCATGTGGGTGGCAGGAATTGAATCTGGGGTCCTTCCTCTAGCAACTCTTAACCACTGAGCTAATTCTCCAGCCCTCTTCCTGTAATCTTTTAAAATGAAGTCTTCCGGGTAGTTGGGGTTTCTGAAAAGCTCTGTTTCAGCATCTGGACTTTATTAAATAGGATTCTAGGCATAATTCAGCCTTGCTATGTGTTAAACTTTTGGAGTATGTACAAGTGATAACTTCAAGATTGACTCATGTCATGGAGTAGGTGGACACTCTTTGGTAGTCTTTCCATATGAATGATCATGTGATTCTTTTCCCTGCTTTAGATTGCTAGACTTGGGTGAAGTGATTTAATGTGTTTAAGATCTCACAGCTCTTAGGTGGTGAAAGTGGAGTTGAGTTTAGCTCTGTGTGACTCAAGTCCCTTCCCTCCTGTCACTTGCTACACTCTGCTCTCTGGACTGGCCATGCACTGTGGTGACTGTCATTTTTCATTGCTTTCCTTGTGTCTGCAGATCACAGCCTTTCTTCTAGATCACCATTTTTCATCTAGATGGCTTGAGAATGTCATGGCTATCCTTTATGAGTGCTCCCGAGGGCTTTGCTTAGATTAGAGATAGTGACTCTGACTGTGTTGGGCATTTCTGGGTCTCGCTCTTTGACTATGGATAGCAAATTCCTGAGGAATTAGCTGTCTCTGTGTTTTCCATACTTGGGTCCACCCTCACTTTGAGTTTGTTTCTGATATGTTCATGGGGAAATTCTGGAGTTGGTTGCACAGGTTATTTGAGCTAATCCTTGGGTGGGTCACTCAAGGTAATTCTCCAAGGAGTACATCATTCTTTCTTTTTTTTTTTTTTTTAAACTATGCTTTTAAATACTGTCTTTACTTCTGTGACTGAGCTCCGAGACAGAAGAGCTACTTGCTTCTTTATTATTAATCTTCAGCTCTGTGTTTTCAGCAGGAACAGAGGCAGCAGGCTCACTTATGCAGCTGTGTGGTTTACACAGGTGATTGCTGTAAATGGAGAAGGACCCTCTATTTCTTCCTGGGTATGAGGATATCACAGCCTGGCCAGACTCTTATAAAACCAACTTCTGAGAAACTAAGTCAATCTCTCTCCCTTCTACCCACCCCGTGTGTGTGTGTGTGTGTGTGTGTGTGTGTGTGTGTGTGTGTGTGTGTGTGTGTGTGTTATGGAATATAGACACATATCACCATGCTCTAACTTTGAGTAGAAAAGTGTCTGTGAATTTATCACCTAACTTACCAGGCCTACTATCTGGCTGTAACAATCTTGGACATTATGGAACATTCTAGAATTAAGAGTTCTAGGAGAATTGCAAAGACAGCAGCAGTGGCAGTGGGTTAGGTGGAATATGGTGAATATTATTGCATCATGTGTCTGATCCCTTTAGCCGACCTGGGATGCAAGATTCACGGCTTTCAAATTCCTGATTCCAGCAATGTATTTTTCTCCAGAGTGGCAGGTAGGACAAGGTTTCCTGCTGCCAGGTGCTAAATCCTTATCTGGGGAGGTAGTAGCTGCTGTCATAAGCCTGGGGCTGAGAACACAAGCACAGGAGCTACTTTTGAAATTGCTTTCCTCCATTGTTATCTCCCCCATTTCTGCCTTTCATATCTCCCCTGTGGAGCTCCCTACCCATTCCAAAGTGTTCTTCCTCTAGAGATTGAATCTAGTTATTTTTTCCTAGATGCTTCCCTAAGACCATTGCTGGGGGTAACAATGGACAGCCTGACAGCTGGGAATTGTCCATTCCAAGCATTTGCCATTTTGCCTCATCTTGTCTTTCTGTGAAGGGTTTAGAAATCTCCTTAGGGTGCTTCAGTAGACAGCTCTGGGGACCGAGGAAATGGCTCAGAAGGTAACAGTGCTTGCTTCTCAGCAGGAAGATGGGAGGTCAGATCCTAGCACCCAAGTGAAAAGCTAGATGTGGCTGCATGTGGGACTGTGACCTTAGCACTGTGGAGGGCAGAGACAAGAGGCAACAAGAGGATCATGGGCCTTGCTGGCTATGAGCCCAGCTCCACTCCCAGTGAGAGACCTTGTCTCAAAGGAAGAAGGCAGAGCATGGTAAAGTAGGAAACACCTGGCCTGCAGGTGTATATACAGGCACCCCCCCACACCCCCCCAATCGTGTACATGCACCATACTCACATCACACAATATGCACACTCTCACACACATACACAATGAAAATAACTAGTGCTTACCACGACAAATTGGGTGTCTTCATGAATAAGTTTGAGAATCATCCCTCTGCTATTTAGCTATGTAATGAAATGAGGAATTTAAGGATGGAATTGAAATAAATGATGTACAGATGTAAATGCTATTTCAAGTTTATATCTTAAATTGTGTATATTTACTCTTACTGAATCATCCATAGTTTCTCTTTGGAAACTTATTGGAAATTTAGTTTTCAAGAAATATTTTTGTTTTTTGTTTTCCCTTTGAGATTATAGTATAATTACATCACTCCCCCTTCCCTTTCCTTCTTTTAAGCCCTCCCATTTACCCTTGCTATTTTTCAAATTCATGGCCTCTGTGACTTTTGTCATCCAATAAAACAATCACACTACAGGAAATGCTTATTTAGTTGTTTCTGTGTGTTTATTCACACTAACATGGTTGTAACACAGAATAGTACACAATTTCCTATAAGGAATGACTTTTGGTGATACATACAGATCATTAAGATAAAACATTAAATGCTTATTAGTCAATAAAATTGTGAATTTACCTTGTTCCTTGTCCCTATTTACTTAATGCCCAAATCTGTCTTTCAGGCTGTAACTGAGAAGACTTTTGAAACAAAGGATTTTCGAGCCTCTCTAGAAAATGGTGTTCTGTTGTGTGAGTAAGTATTTAAGGCATGCTCTCCACAGTCACAGGTTTGTGTCCTTGGTCCAAAGTGAGATTTGATCCCTGCAAGCTGACACCTCCACAGTATGGGACAGTAGAGAGGGGGTTATCGCTCTTGGTATCTAAAGATAGTGTTGGTAATATATATATATCATTTTTAATTAGTAAATAAGCAAGGGTCTGTTATTGCTTTATGGGCAGATAGTTGAGGAGGAAGGTGATTATATCTGACTATAGCCCACACCGTATATAATTGGCTTATTTTAAAATGAATATAAAAGATCCTTTTCATTAGTAAGACAAGTGGCAAGTTTTTCTTTAGGTTTAAGTGAAGTGATTACACTGCCTAAATCGATTTGAGTCATTGACTGTTTATTTAGCTACATTCCAGGCTGTGGTAACCAGAAGTTACCAGGCTGGTGCCCTGATTGATGGTGTAGGGTCTACATGGGTGGCTTTGTGAAGTGTTTGAGTCTCCAGTGGCTGCATAGCACGGTTAACCAGATATGGGACCTTTGTGGATAAGAGAAGGCCTGTGAGGGAAAGGGTAAAATTCTGGAGGCAAGTATGGGTTACAGAAGTAGGCAAATAAATTAAAAGAATGTACTTGAGTACCCACCCACATTTTTTGAAAGCACTCGATAATTCCAATCTAGACTCTTATCACGTAGATATTTATGGAATCTGCCCACATGTGCTCTGGGAGTGGACTACCAGAACCTACATGTTTTCTTTCTTTTTGGTGACGGTAACCCAGTGTGTACCATCATGCTGGTCCACAAGCTGCCCTTAGATGCTTTTGATTCTCTCTTTGAAGGATGCTATTTGCAATAAAGATTCCAAGTGAAAGAGTTGGATTCCTTTGCCCACTACTTTTGGATGTTCACACAAGTGACTTTTTTTTTTACATTTTTATTTACATTTACAAGTGGTTTAATGCTTGAGCCTCATTTTCCTCACCTGCACAGCAGAGATCAGGGCATTTAATCTGCCTGATTCATGGAGCTGCTGTGCTCAACACCAGGTTAGGTTGGCATAAACTATGGCACTTGGTATAGCTACAAATTGTTAGAAAGGTGGCCATGGAAACCAGCCTTGTTAGCTGCTATCTAAACTCCTTTGTTTGAGAATATCATAATTCATTAATTCACTTCATATGAAGTTACTGGCATTAAACCAGTTGTGATTTACAGAAATGTCAACTTTATGTAGTTTTACCTAATGTATACCAGGAAAAGCATCCCCAGGGCCATACATGAAGTTGAAAGGATATTTCGACTCCTCAGCTGTGTGCTACCAGTCCTTGTTGAGTAATATTTAAACTCACGTAATTGGGCTGCATGGTCTGTTCAAGGATGGTAGAGGGGAAATTACCTCAACTTGAAAACTGTATGATTTAAGTGTTTACTCATGTATTCAGAAGACAGAGGAGAGAAAATGCCTTTATTTGAGAAGCATCTGAGCTGAAAACTACCTGACTACATAAGAGTTTGAAGAAAAGTAGCTATCCATGATGCTAAGCTCCACAATCTTGAGGAATTAGATGACATTTTACAAAAAAATGTGTCTATGAAATGTAAAGTTTTGTTTAGTTTATGAGAGTATGTAGCCTAAGTAGATGATCTATTTAAAGAGGTCTCTTTGTGGGTTACATATTTCTAATGATTAGCTATTGCTCAGAGTATGTGACTAAACACGTCTGATGGTGGCACCTCTTCCTTTTTTGTGTTTGAGTTCCATAGATGCGTCTATGTTTTGAGAAAGTCTAACCCCCATTTCCTCATCTCCAAGTCCTCTTCTCTCACCCCCATTATACCCTCCCAATTTCATGTATATATATTTCTTTCATTGAATGCAGTTTATTATGTATTTAGTATGTATACATACTTAGTGCTGCCAGCATGTGATGTGTATAGGATTAGTGGAGCATGGGTAACCTCTCAGGTGCTGCATCCCTGAAGAAAACTGACTCTCCCTTTTCCAGTAGCACCAATTGCTACTAGTTCCTCAGGAGGGGTGGGACTTCCTGGTCATCTCCCCACTGCATGCTGGGATTTTGTCTGGCTTCCTCCTGCACAGGTCCTGTGCATGCTGTCACAACGGTTGTGAGTCCATGTGAGAAGCTGCTCTGTTGCATTTCCACTTGTGCTTTGTCCATCCTTTCTGGCCCTTTGATGCCCCCAGAGCCCTGGGAGGAGGAGGTATGACATAGATGTTCCATCTCGGGCCGAGACTCCACAGTCTCTTAGTCTCTGAACTTTGACTGGATGCAGATCTCTGTTTCTTGTGACACTCCTTCTGGATTTAACTGTAGCTTATACACAGCTCTGGCTCTGAGTGATTTGAAATGATTTCTAAAAACTATACCCAGGTTAAGAGATGAGCATATGATATGACAAGTAGGAATATCCAGAGTTGATTGAAAATACTGTCTTGACCCAAATTAGGACAAATTAGAATAGAAATAACTTCTGAATTGCTCCAAACTAATACAAATTAAAATAAATGTAATTTCTACTCTAATAGTGACAACCAACACTTAACTACATGTATACATGTGATAGGTTATGCTGTTAATAAAGCACATATTTATACAAGTCTATATATAAAACTTCAATTTTTACCATCCTCATTAATTTTTACCACTAGTGAGATTCTTACTGTCTTATCTAGAAATTCCAGCAGCTTTTATCCTTCAATACCACTTTTCTTTTTTTAAACTGGCATTCTGAACTATCCACGTCAGGAGTTGGAGGACCGTGTTACAGCTGTCACTCAGCTGACAGTAGACTGGCATGTCAGACTCCAAACTGCAGACAACCTCTGCGCTGACGTTTCAGACAGGGTGCACATCTGAGTAACAAGCACTTCCCTGAGCATTTCTGTGTCAGGTTGATGGATGATTGGAATGAAAATGTTCGTGGTAATAATTTTTGTTCTAGCAAGTTTGACTTTGGTATCTAGTGAGCTCAAAGCTGAAGATTACTGCTCTGTATGTGTGTGTTATGTACATTTGTGCATGTTTGTGTGTGTGTGTTGTGTGCATTTGTGTGTGTTATATACATTTGTGTGTGCTTATGTATGTGTGTGTTGTGTACATTTGTGTGTGTTGTGTACATTTGTGTGTGTATGTGTTTGTATCTATTTCTCTGTGTGTATATGCGTGCATGTGTGTGTGTTTATGTGTGTGTTTGTGTGTGTGTGTGCACATTTGTGTATATACATGTAGAAGCTATCAACATTGGGTGCCCTCCAGGATCACTTTCCACTTTATTTGGTTGAAATGGGATGTGTCACTGAATCTGGAGTTGATTAACTTGGTGGCTGGTTGCACAATGAGATCTGTGGATCCCCTTACCTCTGCCTCCCAAACGCTGGGATTATGAGGCTCCCATGCCCGGCTTTTATGTGGGTGCTAAGGATCTGCTCTTGGGTCCTCATACTTGCATGTAGGTAGGCATTTATCAGCTGAACCACCTCCCTGTCTGTTCATACACATTTATTTTAGATACACATTATCTTCTTGGCTTTATTAGTAGTGAGATGGGAACTACCCCTCCCTTTAAAATGTTTTTTTCTAAATTAATGAATATATTGACCAGTTCTTAGGTGATTTAAGCTCTTTGAGTTTTATGAGTCATATCCATGATCTGTCTCATTTCTTTAGTGTTGGTTAGTATTCATACGGACTGTTATAATATATATTAAAAATGTAAAATAGTAGTCACTGCATGAATATCCATAGCCCTGTTGTGCTCTGACCACATCATTTGACTACTGATATCAGTTAGCAATCTCCCAGTTACTCATCTTGTGGTTGCAGCCTTGGAAGTCTTCCGATGAAAGCATTCTTTCTTCCTCTGTGAAGGTTTGCTCAAAGATAGTCTCACTGGGTGTGTCCCTGGTTAGTCAGTCTGTATTTCCCCTCTTTGGAATGGTCCCAAGTTTCTGCTCTGTCCCCATTGGCCATGCACATAAACTGACTTTACGCCTTGGTGAACATGTTTCGATTCACTGAGAAGCTTCTCATGGTGTTACCAGGTCATTCCCTCACCCCTGTTTGCTGCTTGCAAAGACCTGGAGCAAGATGTTCACCTGGTGTTCTGAGAGTGCCTATTTGTGTTTATATTTCCTCTGTGATTTTCATATGGCTTAAAATGTTCAGTCTTGAGATATTCATTCCCATAGAATAAGAAAACAGATAGTTATATAAATACTGTATTTTCCCGGTGAGAGAGTCAAGTAATTTTTAATATAGTGGACAACATAGAGGACTATGCCACTTGTCATTGATGTTTTGAGAAGACCATTATTTTGTTAGAGTTGAGGACTTGTACATAAAGGCCAGGGACTGGGGAATCCCCTGAGACATCTATGCAGTATGCCACAGAAGGGCCACAAGCTTTGGCAGAAGGAAAAGGCAGTTTTCTTGCAGTTATTTCTGGTCTTGAATTTCTGAAGGAGAAAAAATGGCTCACAAATGACTCCACAAGCCAACACTACCTACTGACATGGAGCCATTGTTTATAGCTTTTAGAAATTAAAATAGTGAAGAACATCAGCTTTATAGTATTACCACACAGCCCAGCCAGCAATACGTAAATAGCAGCACCAGGGTTAAAGTTCATAACGATTAAAAAGTTTTCAACTGCTTTTTCCTTTTGGGTGTGTTTTCTGCTTGGCATCTGTATGTCCTCTTTCTAAACATTCCTGTCCATTTTATCAATCCAATATCTGTGTACGGTGAAATGGCATTTAAAAAAATGTCAGACTGAAGATCTACTTGGCACATGTTACAGTTTATATTTCTTATAGCAACCATTCTCTATAGACTCATTCCAAGCTTTTGCATTTTTCTCTTTTAATATTTTGGCCTCAGATTTGAGGGTAGAAGGCATAGTACTATTTGCTTCACTATTTTGAGTGTAAGACTGGTAGTGTTTTCTTACTTTAATTGGAAATCACTAAGAATAGACTTCAGTCATAGGGCTTCTG